TGGCGAAAGAGGATTGTTATCAGGTACCACATCGTACTGTGGAGGTACACTGTAAAGTGGGGCAGGTGCTATGGTGACAGGCGGCCCAGTGGAAAACGACGGTTGTGTTGGTACATTTCTCTGTGGGGCTGCACAGAAGTAAGATTGAATGGGACAAAACGAAGAACATATTTTCTAGCAGTTCTCAAATTACCTGCATACGCTTGTTCCTGACTAAATGCTGGCATTGGAAATGACGTCGACGGTTTTGGAGTCACACTTATTTCCTGCGTTGGTCGAGTAGGAATAAGTGGCTGAGGTGATTCACTCCTGGATCAGAACTTCAGTTCAAATGGTAGTACAATCATTATTCCAAAGAACCTTTGGGTGATATTGCTCAGAGGAACATTCTTGATCTGCTCCCACATCACCGTGAATACATCCTGCTCATTGCTGGTAGATGGCGCAGCAGGAGTATTCTGATAGAACCGTGATGGCGCTGGTGGAAGTTGCGTAGGTCCAGTGTTAAATGCTAAAAAAATATTTGTATGAAAAATATACAAAAGCAATATACCAACAAAAATCACCATCATTCTCTTCGAATTTGACCGGGAATGCAGGCGATGTCTCAGTGGCAAGATTCGGCAATGATGGGGCTCGTGCAGTTGGTGGTTGCGTTTTACTGCTTGTACCCCAGTCTATAGGAGGCAGTTCAGGTTCCAGCGAAGACATGGAGGCGGCTGCACCGACTGGCGTAGGTGTCAATGGGGCAAGAGTGAGCAGTGGTTGACCAGAAGAAGCAGGTACGATGAGCTCATCCTCCAGATCTAAGCAATCAGAATTTCATATCCCGTACGAAGGCATGATATTAGTTCTCTTTTTTTCGCTTTCCGTCATTACAGAGGGAAAAATGTGAAAATCTCAAAGGGGGCATGTAAAAAGAGGTCGTGTTCTTTCCAGATGTGGATTGCTCCCAAAGTTGCCAGCATTTGTGATTCTCAAAGTACTTGATAATCAGAACTCTGTTTTCAAATCTTTTGATTTAGCATAATGCACGACATGGACAAGCTGCAAAAAAGGCGCATGATTTGATGGAGGCGTCCAGAGACTCCTACAACTAGAAATCTGCTAGTTATTCGATTCGGGAAACGTCAATTCGTACGTGAAAATATAAAAAACTTCCGCAAAAAAACTAGTGCTGTAAATCCAACAAGAGGAGTCCTTCCTCTCTGAATTCTTTGCTAAATTCAAAACTCGATACCGAAAACAAAATGTATGCGAAGGAAAGATAACGATAAAAAATGACACGTTATCTGCTATTATTTGAACTCACATCAAAGGTTCTCTGTCTCTAGAAACTTGACCTCTAGAAAGAGATGTAATTTTGCATCGAATGCATCTTATTAACAAATCTTTTTTATTTTCAAACTGCTTTGCTGTAAATTCTCCGTTCACTCCCATGCTGAAACAAATAGAAAGATTTTCGACGTAATCTAGTACTCATATTTGTGTTAGTATAAGTTACAAAGGCCAAGAAAACCAGTCAATCACGTACCGATCAAATTCGTGGTTTGTTGTTTCGGTGGTGTGCTATGCGGTCGATTCATCATGGAACTAATTTTGTTATTAGATAGGGTGATAGCATCAATACCTGTAATGGACCGAAAATCATTAACAGTCAATGGAAATTGCGTTCAAATACCAATTTCAGGAATTCCCGCACCACCTGGGCCATACCAAGGTGTCAGAATCGTGCTTGGTAGTAATGCGTTATAATAGCCATTGTAGCACAACCTAAAATGGAGTGCGCACGTCAAGAGCAGTTGCAGCAGAAACATTCTTGACTAGATTTGTATTCATCAATGGAATGAGACCAAAATGACGTAAAACCCTACTGATTTCTAACGCAACAACAAAGAAACCACGCTCTCATGCCATTAAAAAAGATCTGCTCAAAGGCAGTGGCTTGGGAAAATTGCGACTACGGGCGTTCCACGACTACATGGCCTTCTGGACCAGCTCAGTCCAATACTGCACTTGAAAAGCCAAAAAAGTGCTTTTTTAGCGTTTCCCAGCCTTGGAGATCGCGGGGGAGGCGGGGCGAGGGATTCACCCGAAAAGGAGCAACTGG